GGGGGGGAAAGGCTGAGGTATGCCAACTCACACAAGAACTGGACTGAAAATCAGTGACAACAGGTCTGATAGAATGATGAATCCAGATGGGAAATTTCTGGTTTGTCACTGTGCAGAGAAAAGGTCAGGAGAGAGATACAACAGTGAGTGTCTACAGTCATCTGTAAAACGTGATGGAGGCTCTGTCATGCAGTGGTGTTGGGGATCTTGTCAAAACTGGTGGAATTATGAATGTAAATCAGATTTTGAGCCACCATGCAATATCATCTGGAATGTATCTTATTGCCAGTGAAGTGAAAGCATACCTAGATAGAGCAAACACACAATGTCATGGATTGGCCTCCCCAGAGTCTGGACCCCAACACTATTGAAGCAGTTTGGGACCATCTTGACAGAGAACAGAAAAGCTAGCATCCAAGGAAGAGCTTTGAATATCTTAAACTATTCCTAAAAAGAAATGATAAGAAAGCTAATGTAAGAGAGTTCAGGCTGTGTTGAAGAATAAAGCTGTCCATACCAAATATTGACTTTTAAACTCATTGGAATTGTACAAACTCCATTTCCATCTTCCATCCAGCCATCTTCTTCCACTAATCTGAAGCTGGACGAGTGATATAATCTCTCCAGCATGTCCTGGGTTTGCTCGGGGGCCTCCTCCCGGTGGGACATGCCCGGAACACCTCACCCAGGAGGCATCCTTTTCAGATGCCCGAACCACTTCAACTGGCTCCTTTCAATGTGGAGTAGCAGCGGAACTTCTCACCCTATCTCTAAGGTAGAAGCTAGCCACCCTTCAGAGTTAGCTCTTCACCACGAGGGACCGGTACAGCATCTGCATCACTGCAGCCGCAGCACCTGCAGGAGGTGCCGTAGGGGTCACCAGCATTGTGTGCTGGGTGGCAGCCAGGAGTGGAGGCCCTGGCAGACCGATCCCAATACCAAGACTGTCAATTTTCCATCTTCCTAGCAAAAATAAAGAAATGAGTGGTGACTCTGGACTTTTGCACAGTACTTTAGTTTAGTTAGTGTTGTCAGTAATCACACAGAGAAGCCAAGTAAGAGATCTCGCAGTACATATCAGTAGTAGTGTCACAAGTGTTGGTGCAGACACCAATACTAGTTTGTTTGTTTTTTTTAATTCTGGGCAAGGGCCCAGTTAAAATAAATAAAGTCAGTTACTTTTTCAATTTGACATGTTTTACTGCAACATTTCACAAGCTTGTCATAAAACTAAAATAACTGCCAAAAACCTCTCATTTGGATCCGTTTTGTCACGGAGCACATTATTACTGGTATCGTCAGTCTGTTGAGCAAAGTTGGCCGGTTGGCAGCGAAGAAAATACACAAGACCACGTGCAAATGCAGAGAATCGTTTTGAATGATTTGGTAAATATTAATATTTTATCATTTTTGCTCTTTTCGTGATGCAGATTCCAGTCGAGGTTGTGCGGCCAAGCTTTCGTTCTCCTGTCTTTTGAAGGGTCACTACTGTCTGTACGCCAAATCCTGCTTCAACCTGACCAGCCGACAGCCGCATCTATGGATTCACATCATGTTGTTACATTTACAGGTGCACCCAAATGTCCCGCTGTAAAAGCACACAAATGTGTTAGTAAGTGTAAGACGTGCATCTGATGTCATTGGTCTTTGGTTGCCTGAAGGTCTGAAATATGTTGTTTCTTAAACATTTTGTATTGGAGAATAATTGAAAACCTTCACTGACTAGGATAGTTTTACGCTCTTGTGCAGTCTTTTGTGTCTTTATCTGAACCATATCTCCGTTTTTAAATTAGTTTTTGTTCTCCTGCTCTTGTATTTTGTCTCTTAGAGTAAGTCCAGCGTACCTCTCAGCACCAGGGACGAGTGTTTCCAAAAACTGGGTTCTCTTTGGGAAAAGACGCAGCTTAAAGGAGCTCACAGCTTTTCTATGGCCATGACACAGCAGACTACCCCACACAAGAAGGTACTGGACCACCGCAGTGTGGGTGTGTGTGTGCAATCATGCAGCTTCCTCATAAAAGCTATCTGTTTCCACCAGAGAAGATGAAGTCATCGCTTGTGTAAAAGAAAGAAATAAAGATAGGGAAGCGTCAGCACCCACTTTGTTTAGATATGGAAGGCACTGAATGGACGTTTTTGTATACAGGACCTCCGTTCGCCCTGTCTTCTCATCTTTATCATGTCTGTTTGTGTGTTTGCAGATTTGAAACACTGAGAAAAAGCAATTGAACGAGAGGGGTGGGTGTGTGGGAATGGTGTGGGGGGTGAATATGTGCGTCTGGGTTGGTGACAACGTGGAAATGGGTGGTGTTCTTCGTGCTGTCGCTTCTTATGTGTGACAAGCTAAGTGCTCATTAGGAAATAATTAGGCTCACAAAGAAAATACAGCTGTTATTTGTCTTTCTCTAAACGTGTGTTGTGGTTGCAACCAGCTGTGGTTCCCATATGGAGCCCTTACAGAAAAAACACGAGTACACTTACAGTGCTGAGAAAAAGTGTTTGGCTTCTTCTTGTGTTCTTAGTTTGTTTGCATATTTTGCACACTTACATGTCAAATTTTAACATTAGACAAAGATAAGCTGAGTAAAAAGAAAGTGCAGGTTTTAAATGATGATTTTATTTATTTAATCAAACCTGGCTGCCCTCTAAACATTAATAACTTGGTGTGCCACTCGCAGCAGCAAAAGCTGCACTCAAGTGTTTGTGATAACTGGCAATGCATCTTTTGCATCACTGTGGAGGAATTTTAACCCGCTCTTCTTTGCAGAATTGTTTTAATTCAGCCACACTGGAGGGTTTTCCAACATAAACAGCCTGTTTAAGGTCGTGCCAAAGCCTCTCAATCTGATTTAAGTCCGGACTTTGAGTAGGCCGCTCCAAAACCTTCATTTTGTTTGTTTTAACCATTCAGAGGTGGACTTGCTGGTGTGTTTTGGATCATTGTCCTGGTGCATAACCCCTGTGTGATTGAGCTTCAGGTCATGAACTGACGGTCGGTCATTCTCCTTCTGGATTTTCTGGTAGAGAGCAGAATTCATGGTTCCATCAGTTACAGGAAGTCAGCGCCAGATCATCACACTGCCAGCACCACATTTGACTGAAATGCTGTGTTAGTTTTATGGTAGCTGTAATGGGACTCAAACCTTCTACTAAGTTCAGTTTCTATCTTATGAGTCCACAGAATCTTTTTCCAAAAGTCTTGGGAATCATCACATGTGAGACAAACTTTTGTTTTCTCTTTTGTCAACAGGTTTTTCTCCTTGAACTCTCCCTTTTTTGCCCAGTCGCTTTCTTGTTGTTCAATCATGGAAACTTAATTGGGAGTGTGTGTGGACACGTTTATGTCGACACATGTTAAAACAGCTGCGCTTAGCACTTATACACTCATACCTGCGTCACATACATACCCATACCCCATTACCCATAGGGTAAACAACCTCACTCTCTCACTGTCTGATTTGATTATCCACGAGCGAATTACTTTTCCTGATGATCTCAATTGTCCCAAATTAGATCACATTAAACTCTTGTTTGTTTTAGCTGGAGGCCTATAAAAACACAGACCCTGAAGCTACACATGCAGTGATCTTTTACATTTATGGGCCATATAGCGATGCTGATAACACTGTGCTTCAGCTGACACGCTCGTTGTTGTGTTTGGTCAGAGAAATCGCTTGTACGTGCCAACAACAACAATGACTTTACAACTTACGATGATCATTCACTTTCAGTATTTCATGTTAGTAAAACTGTAAGCTCTCATTCCCACTCAATTACTGCTGTTTTATCAGGTTCCTGTCAGACTCTTTTAAAAGCGTATTTTCTTGTGTGCCACATTTATTACTGTCACTGAGTCCTAGTTCCTTGCTTCAGTTTCTGGTTTTGTTCATGATCATTCTGCTTGATGTTTATTTTGTATAACCTGTAGTCTCCCCCGCTTGTGCCCCTGTGTATCACCTTAGTACAGCGGTCCCCAACCTCCGGGCTGGTCCATGAGTTGTTTGGTACCGGGCCGCGAGAGTTGAGGCTCGGGTGCAAAATTTATGGTTTTCAGGATTTTTACGTTAACTCTGTTTCCCTGGGTCTTTTCCCGTGTTGTATTTCTGTGTCTTATTTTGAAAGAAATATTTATGGGTTACCATAGCAACCAGAGAGCATTAAGGGGCAGAGAGGAGGATGTTACTCTCAATGTTGTTGGCGCATTTCAGGAGGACGCTGCTAATAAAGTTACACAATTACACAGTGAATTTGCGTTTATCATTATATTTACAAAATACCACATTTTTTGTCTTGGTCGTGTCATTTTATTTTGTTGTATTTATCCGAACACCGTAAAGACCGGTCCATGAAAATATTGTCTGACATTAAACGGGTCCATGGCGCAAAAAAGGTTGGGGACCGCTGTCTTAGTATGTTCAGTTTTTTCCTGTTTTACTTTTGTAGTGTTTTGTACCTTGTGCTGGTCACGGTATCCCTGATCTGTTCCCTGTTCCACTGTACCTTCATTACCTTTTGTATTTATTGTTCCCTCATGTGTTCCCTAGTGCTATCCACTGTAGTTTGCTTTTCCTCATGGCGCCTGGACTGTGTTTTTCTTTGATTGTTCCAGCATTAAACCTTCGCCGTAGGTTAATTTCCGCTAACGTCCACCATACTCCACACAGCGTATCCTGACATGGACCCTGAATCTTTGTGCTTTGCTCTTTGTTTCGACACACTGAGTCTTTCCTTTTCATTCGCTTTTTGAAAAAGCAATAGAAAAAATTAGATGGTTAAGTTTTTAGAAAAGGTCATGGATCACAGCATTCACCCTCTGAAAACCAGCTTACCCAGTGACTGTGACTCCTGGGCTTCAGAACGATTTACATGTGGCAATGACAATTATAATCACCACTGCCTAAAGTTGGTGCATTACTGCGTATCTTGGTAGTAGTTAGTTGAGGCTCAGGAGGCAGATCAGATTGCCTGCCAATTAGAAGGTTGGTGTCTCAGTCCTCAACTCCTCCAGTCTGCATGTTGAAGCCTTCTTGGCGAGGATACTAAACACCAAGAACAGCTACAACACCGTGGATGTTGATTAAACAGCCGTATTTGTTGGCCTGGGAATTTAGAAAAGGGTCTGCAAAGTTTCAGCACAACATTCCAACAATGCATAAGTGCAAATGTCTGTGAAAGAAATTATACTGTGTAAATGGACTGTTAATTGTTACGGTTAAGATCACTGCCTTCACATTAAAATGTACTTAGTGCAAAGCATTGACGGGGAGTGGTAAATACTGCACCGGTAGACTTAAACAAGTTTGCTCACCACTACTAAATTACCTTAGCAGAATGTAAAAACATGCTGATGCTGACAGCTTCGATTTTGGTGATCCGTAAACACAAAACAAGCAAAATTAGTGTTGAGGTGAAAGAAAAAAACAAAGGTGTAATTTAAGAGGAGTAAGGAGGAGAAAGAGAGCCACTACTCTTTTCTCCATCCACATTCATCACACTGCCTCTTTGCTTTCTTTCCGCCTCAATGAGATCTACAGCTTCTCTCCTGTCACTGTCAGCCAAACAGCATCGCACATGATTTGACAGCAAGGAGAAGAGCCGCGGGACAAGGAAAGCTGTTATATGTGTGAGACAGAAAAGGTTACCAGTTACATCCGTACTGACAGGAAGATTTAAAGGGAGACCGTAGGGCTTTACAAGGCTTCGGTGATTTAAGAGGGGCTTGTGTTTAGCTTCTGACATTTTGGGTTAGTCGTTTTATGACACAGAGAAAAGCTGGTGGAAGCAAAGATGGGGGGATGGAGGGAGGTAAGGGCAAGAGGGGGGAAAAAAACCTTAAACAAGTTAATAACACTTGTTTTACAAGTTACAAATACATAAAGTTGGAAAATAGTAAAAGGTTAAAAGAATAAAGATGTAAAAGGATAAAAGTGAAGGAAATGAGAAGCAGAAAGGGTGGGGAGGAGCAAAGGTGGTCAGATGGGATGCAGATGAAGAGAAAAGGAAACTGAGAGGAACTGAAGGGGCGGTTAGCAAGGAGTAAACTTTGCTGAGGAGAAAACTTAAGGAGTGGGGATTATCTTACATAGTGAGAAGAAGACATGGCACAAGATACGAAAGGAGACAGAGCAAAGTCTGTGGAAGGAGGTGCTTGAAAAGTATTGTTTCACTCAGTTTGCCCAGCGCGTGAGAGTTTGTTGATACAACTGTGGTGAAGATAACGTTTGACGGAGGGAGAGGAGGGAGGAAGGCGGGGTACTCGAAGATAAAGATGGGGCTGAGGCTGTGATTAGATAAAGATGCTCGGGGACGAAACAAGGGTAGAGGAGACAGCTGACCTCTGCGTGTGCCCGTGTGAAAGGAGTTTTATAGTCAGGACCCCGGCCTGCCAGACAGAGCCGCAGATGAAAGTCCGCAGGGACAGAAATAAAGCACGTCCCTGTTTATTGCTTCAGCCTCTCCTCCACTCCCCCTTCCCAACACTCCCCCTTCTTATCCACTCACCTTTCTCCAGACGTACACTCCCCCTCCCTCCTCCTCCTTCCTGCTTCAGTCTCATTCAGTTTTCTCCACGGAAATTTCAACTATATTCCTACAACCTCATCAACCACATTTTTCCTTCCATTTCTGGAGTTAATAACAGTTTGGCTTCTTAAAAAATCTTTTATCATTCCCCAGTTTATTAGAATATCTGGATTTATGTTAAAAAAATGAATAAGATAAGATTTTAAATGGCAAAAACAATCTCAAAGACACGTTTTGCAGATTTGGTACATTGAGCATTGTTGCAGTTGCCGTCAGCCATGTGCACTGGCAATCTCGCATCTTGATGAAAATATAATTGTAAACTTAAACAAAATGATGAAAGGAGAGAGAGGAATGATAGAGAGAGGTGCACAAAGGGGGTTTATTGAAATCTCTGCGAGGACAGACAGATTACATTCAGACTCACATAATCCAGCCTTTGTTTCTTCATCTCTTTATTGAATCCACCTTTCGGGGCTTGATGAATCAAACATGGCCATGTTTGTCCACATCAAGCTGTTGCCCGGCTGCAAATTCATCTCTCCAACCTCAGCAGCATCAAAGCTCACATTTGAAAACACATACTGGATGTTTGTTCCGTGCATTACGGCCTTTCAGTTGCGATAATTTGATTAGACACACATACGCTGGAGTTTAAGGCATTCTTGTAATGGGCTCTGGAAGCAAATACATCTGATCTTACTCATTTTTCTTTGTTGGTCATTCATTTCTTCTTGTATTTTGCAGCAGATGTCGGGTTTGCATTCACTGTTAGACACTGTTGCTCAACCTCTGACTCACAGCCGGTCCTTTTATCTTCTCTCTGCTTCTGTCTCCACTCGCTGCTTTTCAGAGGTTTGCTGTGTCATCGGTAAACGATGTTAAAGCTATTTCAGTAATTGGCTCCTTGAATGTCCGTAGAAAAGCTGTTTCTGCTTTTTCTTTTTCACTTGTAAAGCCAACAAAGACGAGATTCAGGTGAGTCTAAACTACGACACGATTCACGAGTCGTTCTGGTTTCTCATCCATCCACAGAACAACACCGTCAGATCAGGTCAGGTTCATAATTTGCTGGACAAAGGCGGTTTGTGTATTTTTGTCTTTGTACATCACCAATTTGTGATTGAAGTGCCAATTCAATTCAACTTCAATTCAAGGAATTGGGGGTTTTTTTGCATTTAAAGTTCAGGATATTTGATATGATTCAAAGTGTTTAATATATTTTAACTATAATTTTAAATATGAGGCCCAAAGAGAGATGTCAGTGCAAGTGAGGCAGGCCATCGTTAGGCCAAAAACAACAAAATAAACCTGTCAGTGTGAGAGAGAGAAAACAAAAAAATTTGGACTGACTAAATCTAAAAACAATAAATTCACTGAGCAGCTCAGCAACACCAAAAAATGCCTCAAGTACCACAAAACACGGCCGAAGTGGCTGACAGGATTATTCCCATGGAAACACAGCTTCACAACATCAAACCAAGTGAAGAACACTCTCGGGGAGGTAAGAGTGTCAAGGTCTATAATTAAGAGATGCCTTCATGAATGTGAAAACAGTGGATTTACAACAAGCTGCAAACCACTGATTACACTCAAGAACAAGAAGGACAAATTAGACAGAAAACATTAAAAAATAAAAGCCCGCACAGATCTGAAAGACATAGAAAAGACAAACAAAACCAAGACAAATGGTGAATGATGGGAAGAGAAAACAGGCATGTATGGCTGCCAGTAGAAGCAGGTCACTAGTGTTTATTGATGATGTGACTGCTGATAGAGCAAGATTTGATTTGTAATTGTAATGCATGAACATATATTTTTAATATATAATCAAATGCTACCACAGCCTGATAAGAACTCCTTTTAAAACGGGTGGAGTGGTTCTTTAACTATATTA